CATCTCGTTAAACACTTCCATCAACTTGGCAAAAAATTCCATGAAATTTGCAAGGTAATGAATTACACTAGGTTACAAAATATTTTAACTATTTTTTAGCCTACAAGTGAAAACGCTAGTTCTTACATTTCACACACACAAATAGGGTATAGATGCTCAAAAGTCAAGGGCACTATTAAAACCAACAGTTTAAAAGTAACAGTTCTTAATGCACAATTAAATATTTTGTGTATTTAAGTATGAGTAAATGATATTCTTGTTCCAGAAACTCCCTGCGTGAATGTTTGGCGTATTCAGCATGATGGCACATTTGTCACATTGTGTATAAAGGGAGAATGACTGCATGTACAAATATATCAGAATTTTCTTGCTTTAGGTAAGCAGTTAAGACTGCAGCATATTTAGAAGAATACATTAGAACTACAAACAAGGCATTGAGTGGCATGTTTAATCTAGACTAGTCATCTTAGATATCAAAGGTTAAATCTTAGGGCCGGTGCGATAGTGCAGCGGTTAATGTCCTTGCCTTGAATGTGCAGGGATCCCATATGAATGCAACTTCTAATCGTGGCAGCACCACTTCCCATCCAGCTTCCTTCCTGTGGCCCGGGAAAGCAGTCGAGGATGGCCCAGGGCTTTGGGACCCTGCTCCCGTGGTGGGAGACCCAGAAGAGGATCCTGGCTTCGGATTGGCTCAGCTCCAGCCATTGCGGCCGCTTGGGGAGTGAGTCAGTGGATGGAAGATCTTCCTCTCTGTCCCTCCTACTCTCTGTATAACTGCCTTTCCAATAAGAATAAACTATTTACAAATCTTACAGCTTGGAGAGAGGAAAAGTTTAAATGCCGCAAATTGTATGTGGATATCACCTCACTCTGGGGTTAAACTATGCTTATCATCATATATGAGTACTAAACATGATTATCCAGTGTCATTATAAAATAGTGTCATTATAGAAATTTGACAGCTGGGCCTGGCATAGTAGCCCAATGGCTAAAGTTCTCACCCTGCATGTGCTTGGATACCATATTGGCACCAGTTCTAATCCTGATGGCCCTGTTTCCCATCTAGCATCTAGCTCCCTGCTTGGGAAATCAGTAGAGGACAGCAAAGCTTTGGGGTGCTTTGGGGTCCTGCACCCATGTGGGAGACCTGGAAGAGGCTCCATGCTCCTGGCTTCAGATCGGCTTAGCAATGACTTGGGGAGTGAATCATCGATGCAAGATATTCCTCTGTCTCCTTTCTGAGTATCTTACTTTCTAATAAAACAAAAGAAATATGATAGCTTTTAGCTATTAATTACTACTTCTAAGCATATTTCAAGGATCATCTAAATCTATAGCATTGTTTTTTGTTACAAATTGAAATAAAATCTGTTGAATTTGGGGTGGAATTCCTTATTTTTATGTGTACAAATCCTCTGATGTAAATTTTTTTTTACTACACAGAGATGTTTAGCAACCAGAGACTTTGGTTAGAATTCACCCTCAGTACATCCAGATCTAGGTTTTAAACAACTAGCTGTTCTCCTAGAAACCGAAACATTAGCAAGATCAATATCTTCAGAATATGTTGAATGTTATCACTGGCACTCAGCCTTTCACCAATGGGACACCTGTTCACTGAATGCCTGCTGTTTACTATCCCTGTTCTAGGCACTGATGATGCATTTGTGAACATGCAGTGACTCCCTTCCACAAACCTTACCTTCTAGTGGAGAGGACAAAGGAAGTAAAACAATACATCATTCAGAATAGAAAGCATGACACTATGCACCATGCAGAGCAACACAGGAAAGAGCAGGGAGCTCCAGTGTGAGAATCAGGACCAAAGACAGTGTCAGATGAAGCCTCACCACAAAGAAGAATAAAGAGAAAGGGAAGATGAAGGTGAAGAATATGAGCTGTGGAAGGATTTGACAAGACTCCAGAAAGTACTGATCTTTCTCTAAGGGAACAGCAAAACTTGCAAAAAAAATTGAACATTTCTCTCTCTCTCCCTCCACCCCGCCCCCCCTCTCTTTCTCTAAGGATTTTCACCTGCTCTAGACTCTGGCCCCTTCTAGGAATCTGAGATAGTGGCTTGCTGAATACCAAACCTGAACTGAGACATTAAGGACAGAGCTTTTGTGACTGTGACTAATTTCAAATTTGGTAATGTGCAAAGGTGACAGCAGCCCATGTGTAAATCTCAAATGGGGTATATATGACTAGGGAACACTTTTGAAATAAGTTCTAGGACAGTTAAGAAGTCAGGATAATTGAGGAAATGACTGACTCTATGCCAGATAATGGAGTGGAAAGAAGTTCCATAGTCCATGAAACAAAGCCCAGAGCGGTAGAGTATTTAGGCACCCACACAATCTGGCAACAGGGTAAACTAAAGCCACCTATTTTTACTCCATTTTGTAAGTTTGGCCTAAATTCTCACATACAAAATCATGAGGTTTTGGTTATGACAAAACATTCTAGATCATAAACAATCAAGGTCTTAACATTCTACGAAAAGTTTACTTGATGCAAAATAAAGGCACATGTTTGGATGCACATATACAATCCGGGAGAACCGAGGCCTTACACAGAAACAGAGACTGCACTTTGAAGCCAGGGGCTTCAACTTCATGTGCTTCCTTAGGCTTCAACAAGGAGAGCAGTGTTCATTCCACTGGGCTATGTTATGAAGAATATACGAGCTAATATTCGGAAAAAAAATGCTAACACTATCACACACATATACGTATATATATCATTGCATAAAAGCTTCTTAGATAAAATAGAGTATAATTCTTATTTAGACACTGTTTGATTAAAGGTTTTCCTAGTTTTCATTCTTCAGGAAGAAAGAATTATTGGCATTTCCTGACAAATCTTACACAGCACAGGCTAAAACAGAGCTCTTCCATGAGTCTAGATGTCTTGCTAAATTTTTAGCAAACCTTCAACTGAATTTCAAAGCAAATGGCATAAAAAAAAAAAAAACTAATGGCCAGGAGATTACCAAATGAATACTTTATTAGAGTCATAACACTTATAAAATAGATTTTCTTTTCATCATGGAGTTATCAGATTTTAAAACCAACCAACACTTTCTTATTCTTACAACTAAGACATATACAAAAATTCACGAATGCCATAATTTTTGTTCAAGCGCTTTGTCACATAACTCACAAACCTAGGATATGATTAATCTACAAATCTAAGTATTCACAGTTAGTGAGTTTTAGGTTTGGTTCTTAATGATCTAGAAGCAATTCATTTACAAAAGTGTCACTAAAGCATTTTAATGAAATCATTTAATGCCACCAAGCACGGATCTGTTACACCTCGTTAGTAAAAATAAAACCTGACACTAATTCCTAGCAGACTAACTTTAAACATTTCTGACTAGAACGGGTTCTATACCCTTATGGCACATTTATGACTTTATAATATATAAATCATAACACAAGTTTAAGCGTATGGAATGGAGCTAGAAAAAGAATCCCAGGAAGTTGGATATTACTGATGTGATTAGACAAGTGCATAAAGTTTTAAGATTTATTGCCTCAAGTCACTTATTGAAGCATGTTTTCTGTATTGGTGTTTTTGTTATAAAAAAAATAAACTACAACAAGGTTTTCTTCTCCTAGAAATTATTACATAAATAGTATTTATATGACCAATAAACACTGACCATTCTACTTATCCACGAATCTCAAATGGTCCATGAAACTAAAGCAGTCCGGATTACACCCTTCCAGGATGATTCAGCCAGAAAGCAGAGGGCTGAAACAGAGAGCAAACCTCAGTGCTTTCTTTCCCAAAGTAGCTCTCTTGGGCCAGGGTACAAGTATGTCTCCTGGATCATGTAATGGTGGGAACTGCAGTGTTAACACTTACCTCTCCCATTAAAAACTTTATGGCACCTGTGTTCTATAACTGGGTTCCCTACAGGTTAAGGTCAAAATACTTCCGTGCTGTTTGTCATAGACAGTTTTTGTGTTGGCTATTGTTTCTAAACTCATTTTGTTCATCTGTGGCCAACGTAGATGTCTGGGAGAATACCAAAACATGTAATAATCTACAACTTTATATTTAATACTCCATTCAAATATAATGCAGAAAGCAATGCAAAAGAACTAGAAGTTGAAGGCAACTCTTTGGAGAGTTCTATTTGGAAAAGCTGCACATATCCACACACACGCATCTGTGTATTCATGCATAAGGCTTACAGCTATATTCTGTAGCATAAATAAATCCAAAATAAGACACAAGTAGAAGACACCGGTTCCATTCAGAATCAAGGATCTCTCTGGATCTTGCTTTAAGGACTTCCCAAAGAGTCTTGCTCAGTTGTTAGGTTGTTACTTTGATTAAGCAACTAGGATTTACTTCATCAATTGTTTTCTCATACCCGATACTCTGCTTGCATCATCTTGATGAACTTTATGTCCCTCCACAGCTAACTGTTTGACCATTATCTAAAGGCATCATGATTCCTGCAAATTGAGACTACGTATTATGTGGCTGTTGTTAATAAAGTTTGTAACCTGTCACAATCAGCACAGTAAAATACAGAAATATAGTTAAAATTTCACACCAGATGTCAACAAGCTAGAAGATGTAGGCCAATCTAGACTGCTTTGTTTTTGTAAATAAAGTTTTATTAGCAAACAGCCACTCAATCATTTACATATTATCTGTAGCCGCTTCCAGTTACAGCAGAATTGAATAATGACCACAGAGGCTATGTGGCACATAAAATCTAAAATGTTTATCACAAATTCTTTACAGAAAGAGTGTGCCAATACTCATTTTTTATTACAAAACAGAGTTCAGTAGGGAGTCTATTTAAAATGTATTTTTTTAAGGTAGTTTTTGTTTTCTATTAGAATTTAGATCATGTGACTAAACAAGCAGAGTAAGGGTAACAGTTTTATATAAACAGTTTCTGTAGACATTTCATAAACCTTAGAAATGGAAAGAAAGAGAGAAAAAGATAAAGGCCATTTCTCTGTTAAACATTAGACTACTTAATTAAAATTCCCCTACATGACATAAACCAAAACTTGCCCTTTCAATCTCTGCATCAGAGAAATCATTGTTGGAATGTTGTTACATCTGGACAAAACGGTATCCAAATTGATCAGACAAACAAAGTAGACAATAAAACTAATAAAACTAATGACAATAAAACTAATGCAGGACTGTCAGTTTCCAAGGAGTGTCACGGTCGCCATCTTCGTAAAGCTAGACCCAAACTGCAACCATAACAAGCTGTTGTCACAAAGGCAAAAATCTAAGAAAAAAGAAAACAAAAGTTGACATGAGATTTACAACACTTACCCTAACGAACAACTCTAGGAAGATTGCTTTTGATGATGTCTACTGATCTGACCTCAAACCTTCGTGATCTGTATTAGCATTATCTACCTCACTCCATTGCTCCTTCCTTGAAATATCCAAGTCCCTAATGATTTTCTTATTTGCCCACAACCTGATGTCGAACATTTGCTCACATGCCAAGCTCGGTTGTTAAGTATTTGTTAAGTCTCAAACTGTTTTCAAAAGTTCAGCAAGAGATAAATAATAGTTATTTTATAATTTCATTAGTGATTTTATAATCAAAGAAAACATAACTGCCACAACCAGAGGATGTCTGAAGTCACCTCCCACTGGAAAGTGACATTCAAATTCAGCAGAAATGTTACATAAATGAGTCATCTGACTGGTTCTTTCTAGTTAGGAGATAGTCTTTATGCAAAAAAAAAAAATCTGCACTTTATATGAATTCTATTCCTTAGTCTTCAGTTAGGATTTTTTTTAGCATTAATTACATGTACACTGCTATATTTGGCTCTCACACTTTTGGTGCTTATGATTTACAGAAAACCACAAGACAAAGCAGTTCAATAAGACAAAACTCAATTTAATACAGCAATTAGAAACCAGAAAGCCATAGTTCTGAGAAGGAATATCACAGCCACCCCCGGAACATTCTGCTGTTCTCACATGTCCGCTGTTGGTTGTTCCCTGATAGCTTTCTCATTTAGCCAAAACCCTCTGAACGAGAACAATTGCTTTGACATCTATTATTAGTAAAAACGAATTTTCCCTCTCAGGTACAATGAAAGAAAATGTGAAGGACTCATTTTAATGTCACAAGTGAATGACTCATACATTTTAATGCACTAAAACTCAGCAACTGAAGAGTCAGTTCGACTGGAGTGCATGGATGCAAAGGGAGCCAAAGTAGAACCTGAGGCACGGCAAGGTTTACTGAGGCAGCTTTACCTACGCAGAGGAAGGGTCAGTGATACCACAGACAAAAGTCACAGAAGGGTACCACCAAGAACAAAATTCTGTGAGAAGAACAACGAAAGTGGAACCAGAAAGGCACAGTTATGTTGGTGTAAATCCATTCATTTATTCATTTAAAAAATAGATTTCTTTTTTGTTCTATTCGAAAGGCAGATTTTACAGAGTAGAAAGACAAGAAAGAGAGAGAGGCCTTCCAACTGCTGGTCACTCTCCAAATGGCCGCAATGGCAAGAGCTCAGCTGAGCTGAAGCTGGGAGCCAGAAGCTTCTTCCCAGCCTGCCACGTGGATGCAGGGGCCCAAGGGTTCGGGCCATCTTCCACTGCTTTCTGAGGACATAAAGAGATAGCTTGATCGAAAGTGGAACATCCAGGACATGAAGCTGTGTCCATATGTGATACCACCCCCTAACAGGCAGAGAATTAGCCTGTGGTGACACCATGCAGCCCCTCATTTCCTTATTTATTTCAAGATTTATTTATTTGTATTGGAAAGTTTGAATTACAGAGAGAAGGACAGAAAGAAAGATCTTTCATTTGCTGATTCACTCCCAACATGATCGCAACAGCCTGGTCCATGTTAGGCCGAAGCCAAGAGACAGGAACTTTATCCAGATTTCTTAGGTGGCTGACAGGGAACCATGTACTTGGGCTATCTTCTACTTCTCAGGAGCATTGACAGGACTAGCAGTGGAACACCTGGACCTTGACCAGCGGAGGACACTGGAATCATAGGCAACAGCTTTGCCTGGTGAACATTCAGTGACATGAACCAATCCCTTAGCTCTTGGGTGCCTAGACTTTTGTGAAAGTACAAACACAGAACTGCTATCAACAAGGCAACAACCTAACAGGGGCAAAGAGAATGTGGAACACAATTGAAAAGGAAGAGTCAGAAGTTAAGAAATGTGTAAAGGAAAACCCAAAGTAACTGATCACTAATGGGGTGTGAAAAGAAGGCAACTCAAGTCAACTCAAGTCCCTGAGCTTTGTTCGGTGAAATTTTACAGCTGCTTATTTTTCTTTGTGATCTTTGGCTTACACATGATTTATGAAGCATGATGGGGATGACTGGCCAGTGCAGTGCTTTTTAAACAGAGATGGGCATCATTCCAGGCCAGTCCCAGGGCTTCACCTGGGAACTGGAAACTCATCTCTTACATGATGAGTTTTTTTTTTAAGATTTATTTATTTTGATTGAGATACAGAAAGAGAGAGAAATCTGCCATCTGCTGCCCATCTGCTGCTTCACTTCCAAAATGGCTGCATCAGTCAGTGCTGCGCCAGTGCAAAGCCAGGAGCCAGGAGCTCCTTCTTGGTCTTCCACGTTGCTATAGAGTCCCAAAGTCTTGGACCATCCTCCTCTACTTTTCCACGCAGTATCAGGGAGCTGGATTGGAAGTGGAGTAGTTGAGACTCAAACCAGGTGCTCATATGGAATACCAACACCACAGACAGAGTACTAACTTGATACACCACCATGTTGAGTTTTTAAGTAAAGTTTCATGAAATAAGATGTTTTCAATTAACTATATATATAATGTATTTGAAAGAAGGGTGGGAAAAGGGAAAGAAGGAGAGAGGGAAGAGGAGAACAGACACAGAGACAGTGATATAACAAAAGAACTCCCATCCAATGGTCCATTTTTTAAATGCTTGCAATGGCTGAGGCTGTTATGGGGTGCACCAGGGGTGGGAGCCAGAGCCAGGAACACAGCTTTGGATTTCCATGCGGTGGCAAGAAGTCAGTGACTTCTGATTTCCAGCACAGATTCAAGACCTAGAACTGGGGAGCCAACCCACGGACCTGAACGTGGGACTCAAAAATCTTAACCACTACACTAAAAGACTGCTCTGCCTTCTTACAAAAGAGTTAAAATCAGTGACATAAGCAGAAACTTCTCCAGGCTAGAAATTTGTCTTCTTTTGTTGGAAAATAACTCATTTTAAGCATTCAATACATTTTGCTAAATCCTAACAGACTTAGGAAACTTCTGGTAACAGGTCTTGAAATTACCTCTCTTCTACTCTCCAGATCCTAGACTCGTGTTGCCCAATGCATTTGCCACTAGATATCAGCCACTACTCAAAGTTATTAGAATTGAGAGCAAAAAGTTCAGTTCCTCAGTCATATCAGATACATTTACTTACCTAGTAGCCACATGTGGCTAATGGGTACCATATCTGACACCACAATCAAGGAAGTCCCTACCACTGTAGAAATTTTCATTGGATAGGAGTGTTCCCAATACGTTTTGATGGCTATAAGAAAGTACTTGCTTATTCATACGCTACGTGCGTAAAGTGTTAAAACATTTGTTTGACTAACATGCTAGACAGTCATGCTAACTATTAAAGCATTTCAGGAAATAATTTGGACTTCCGACATATTAACAATTCTTTATAAAACAGGTCTTTTCAAATAATCTGTATCAATACACAGAAATGACAACTTTACTACAGATTAAAAAGGGTTACAACAAATCCCAAAGTTTGCCTCGCAGTGCGTTTCCTCTGGATGTCATCTATTGTAACTGCTGGCATAGCTGTCTCCTGCACTGTCCCGCCTAGACTTCCTCAATGGTAGGAACTACAAGTTATTCACCCCTTAACCCGCACTCAGAAAAGGACCTATCACGCAGAAGACCTGCAGTAAACAGTCACAGCCTTAAATAAATGATAAATATTGGGTACCAAAGAGCAAAGCTGGGGACAAATTCTCCTTGCCATGTCTGAATGTTAAAAGAGGTAAAAAGCACAGTTAATTCCTTTCTGCAAAGACTCAGCTGGGCAGAGCTAAGCTGAACTAACGGCTTGTTGTAATTTTTTGTGCCCTGCTTCAGTCAGCCTCACCGCTAGGGATGATAACAGTACGGTGTTTGGAGGGTTATGGTACAAATGACTATCATATGCTGAATGCTAATATCTCTTGGTAAAGAGGGCCCTGCTGCCTGAGGAGATGGAGGAGAGAGCGTGCTGCCGTACAGCCCTCACTGAGTACTCACTGTGGCTGCTACATTGATCCTATACTGGTTGTCATTCAAGAGTGGCTGCAGCAGCGCGGTGGTGGTCATGTTGCAATGCAGATTGTGCAGGGACGTGGCTGCTGCTTCCAGCAAAAAGGCTCCAAAATAGAAAACAAACACTGTAAAGTGGCAGGCAAAATCCTGAAAGAGGAGAGGAAAGACATCCACAATGAAAAACAATAATTCTCTTATTATTTATTTCAAACAATGAAGTTTAAATTCAGGAAGCCATGTTACATATATTTTTTATGTATTCTGCTTGTTTACCAATTGTATTATGAATGTCAGGCTATTAGAATCCCACTAAAATCAGTGGATGCATCTTAATCGGTTTAGCGAAAAATCTTCTGATAGACTGAGTTTTATGATGAAATGCAGTTTCAGTGTAGATTAAAATGTCTCAGAGTTCATAATTAGTTAACATAAGATAAAACTGTAGTACCTAATAATTCTGAAATTCAAGAAAACTAGCATTCTATGACATATATTTAGTCAATTATATATCCAACGTTTTAAAATTATTTTATAATTGATACATTCGAGCTTACTACTTAATCTTCATTCCACACATCGTAAGTTCCAGAAGACATTAACATTTTAATTCAAAATACATATTCACATATTCTATTAAAAACAAATACATCATATACTTCTACAAAAAAATCTGGAAACTCGACTTTTACCAGGCTATTTTACATATTGCTTGCACCAATGTGAAATGTAATTCTATTAAATAATCTTACCTGAACTGATATGTCGCCCACACACTGATCTTTAACGTTAACAGCTCCCATCAACTAGTTACATACGTTATTACTCATCTTTATAACCACATTTATTAACTTCACTTTGCAGAAAGAGAACTTCTGTTCAGTTAAATGACTGTCCCAGAGCCACATAAAGATTAACTTTGGGACGGGTAATACAAACTCACATAGCCTATCTGCTTCCAAAGTCCACTTTCTTTAAAAAAAAATTGACAAATTACACACATACATCATGGAAGAGCTAAATTGAGCTAGGTAACACATCGAACGCCTCACATACTTTTGAGGCCATTTGAAGTATATGCTCAACAATTTTTAAGAACATAGTAGATTGTTATTAACTACAGTTACATTATTGTACCGATAGATACTCTGGAGTTAATATTTCTTCCTAATTGAAACTGTGCATATATATATTTTTAAATAATATTGGAAAGGCAGATTTACAGAAAGAAGGAGAGACAGAAAGATTTTCCATCTGCTGGTTCACTCCCCAAAAGGCTACAGAGGCAGCAGCTGAGCTGATCTGAAGTCAGGAGCAAGGAGCCTCCTCTGAGTCTCTCATGTGGGTGCAGAGTCCCAAGGAATAGGGCCATCTTCTGCTGCTTTCCCAGGTCATACTCGGAGAGCTGGATCAGAAGTAGAACAGATAGGGCACGAACCAACACCCACATGTGATGTGGCGCTTTGAGGTGGAAGATTCATCAGTTGAGCCAATGCACTGACCTTGAAAATGTGCATATTCTTACCAACATCAATTTGAAGCTTCCTGTCTGCTTTCATTCCCTGGCAACCACCATTCTACCCTTTGTATCTAGAATTCAGACACGTACAAGTGTAGTCATATGGTGCATGTCTCTCTATGCCAGATTTCTTTCACTTGGCATTACACCCTCCATGTTCATCCAGGCAAATGCAAGTGACACGATTCCTTCTTTTCAGAGGCTGAAGAGTATATTTGTAGGAGGTGCTTTGAAAAGTTCATTGAGAAATGGAGTTAATGGGGTGAAGTTGTAGCACAGCCATATAAGTTTTCACCCATAACACTATGCTCCTCTTTGAGCCCCAGTTTGAGTCCCAGCTGATTCACTTCTGATCCAGCTCCTCGATAACGTACTTGTGAAAACAGAAGATAGCCCAAGTGCTTGGGCTTCTGCACCCACAGAAAACTAAGATACAACTCCTGGCTGCTGCGGTTGGCTCAGTCCCAGCCACTGTGGCTATTTGGGGAGTGAATCAGAGGACAGAAAATCTCTCTCTGTGTTTATATCCCATCCTTTGTAACTGATTTTCAGACAAGCAAAAATAAATCTTTCAAAAAACAGAATTGTCTGATATGATACAATATAACTGGGTATGTAGTAACTGTGTAATAAAGACTGTTATATCCAGTTGTGAAGATACAATGCAGTAGGCATCTCTACTTCCAAGTCAAAGATGGACTTCCGATGAAATTCTTAGATATAACTTGACAACAGGATGCTGGACTGTCTGCCATTGTCTGTACCAGAAACGTCAGGATACACTTAAATAACAGAATAATGGAATCCTGACTACTTATGAAGTACTATGCTATGGTAATAATATGGGGGAAAAAGATGCGGGGAGGGTACTTGGGGAGGGGTTAGGTGAAACCCCAGAGCCTATGGAATTGTGTCATAAAATTCAAAATAAAATAGAAGGGAAAAAAACATGCTGAATTCAAATACAGGCTAATTTTGGTTCAAAAATTTTGAAATCCATGTATAATTTTTCATAACATATATTTTCCATGAAATTTCTGAAAAATCCTGCTTATATCATATTTTTAAGAATCATTCACCCTAAACAGTAGTGCCAGGCACTTAGGGTAATTGCTTGTCTTGGCTCCTGTAAACAGCATCCGAGTGAACACGGGCGTGCAGATTTGTCTTACTGATCTCACTTTCTTTGGACATACGCCCAGCAGTGGGATTGCTACATCATAGGGTAGTTTTATTTTTAAGTTTTTTTAAAACCCTCAACATTGCTTTCTATAATGACAGCACTAATTTACATTCCCAGCAACAGTAAGCAAATGTCCACCTTCTTTCTGTCAAACTGCCTCTATTGTGGATGTAGCAATTTTAAAAAAGAAATACCACACTACCTTGGCAAGTGGCCAGGCAACAAACAATACTGTCCATTGGAACTGTCTTGATATACCTAGAATCATCTGCTAGCACAAAGTTAACTAACCAGAGGCCAGAATTAATTATTCTGTTCGAAGTGTTTCCTATCAAGCACCTCTTATTTGTAAAGTGATCTATTCTCAAAAGATTTTAAAATAAGTGTTTCATACTGGTCACATATCTAACATGTAGAAAAAAATGCTCACATGCATGTGTGTACTCAACAAAAATCCATTGACGGAATGGAAAATCCAAATTCAATGATCACTAGTTACAGGGATGCAATGTAACAGAGCTGGCTTCTAACTATAAATAAGAATTGAGAGAGTATGTTTGAGTTTATCAGAGACTCACGTAGCTTACTAAGGTGGAGCCTCAGAGATGGTTTGCCTTCAAAGGAAGGACCAATCTTGTCGACAAGGCCTGCTGTAATCTGGCTCTTGTCTTTTCCACTGCCCGATTCTTCTGAACATGAGCCATGCTGTCCTCATTATGGTATCTAGGAAGCCCATTACAGCTTAAGGTTGAAACTTTAAATATCTTTGCCATGAAAGATTCGTCCACAACCAACTATTGCTTGCTTTTTCCCTCTTCTTTTTATACTTGACAACTTTTCTTTTTGCCTTCCTTTTTGGAACTATAAAAACTTAGCTGTCATTTGAAGACTTTCCTTGTTTCTCTTTTTCTTTCACAGGTGTCACTACACAATAAAGTTCTTGTACTCCTCATTCTATGTGTTTGCGCATCTTCTCCAGCCACTCTTGAAGTCAACTGAGAGTATACTCTGAAGGGCTTGTGGAAAAGATACAATGTACAATTTGTGGTAATGGCAGTGACTGTTGGGACATCAGCAAGGTCCACATGCTGGTCTGACGCTAGGAGAACCTGGTGGCTTTTAACAACTTGAGGACAGACTGACTCATTTATATGTTTTTTTATGGGAAAGCAAGGCATTTGGAAATGGAAATTTAAGTATCTATTTGTAACCTAAATAGGGATCCTTAAGCTTTATCGTATGACCTAGAGTTGGGAATATTTTTCTCATTACTAATGAAAAATGAAGGCAAAAAATGTAGGAACACACTTCTCTCAGCCACCCAAGGACTTACAAGGATCTAAACAGTCTCAGAATGTTGAAGGGATTACAACGATCACCGATGGAATAATGCAACTCAGCACAAAGCTAAGCACTTTATCACTCATTATTTCCATTACTCCCTAATGGCATCTTGGGAAACAGATACAATTATTTGTGTTACACAGAGGAAGAAACTAACATTCAGATAGGTTAACTATTTGACTAAGACTATACAACTGTTAGGCAAGCCAGAGATAAGCTCATGCATGATAGTACATGCATGACTGTAACCACGGAACGCAACCTCCTTCTTGACTTTATAGGAATTGTGTGCCACTTGCCCTTGGATTGGTTTAAAGGGCAGCCATATTCTCTGGACTTAGCTGTTGGTAATATTTGGGATTACATGTTCCCCATGCTCTATAAAATATACACATATTTTCCCCTAACATCTGTCCTCAAGCTTCTGGATAAATTGCTGTATTTGAAAGTAACAGATAAAATACTTTTAAAATGTCCTTGAGGGGTTGGCATTGTGGTGCAGAGGATTACACTGCCACCTGAAACACAGGCATCCTACATGAGAACCTACTGCTCCACTTCTGAACTGCTCTCTACTCATTTGCCTAGGTATAAAGGGAAGATGACCTCAGGGCCTGAGAGGTCCTGCGATTCAGGACACCCAGGGAGAGCTTTGGGCTCCCAGCTTCACCTGGTCCAGCCGTGGCTGTTGGGAGCACGTTGAAATGTGAATCAGAAGATGGTAAATATTTTTCCCTTCCCTCCCTTCTCCTCCATTCCCTGCCCTACCCCTTTTCTCTTTCTCCTTTCCTCTCTCTCTCTCTCTCCTTTATTTTGTAACTCTGTAAGACAAATTAACAAGTAGTTTTTTAAAAAATTCATTAAATATGCACAATATGTGGTTAAACTGTGGTACAGTGGGTAAAGCTGCCAACTGAGTTATCAACGTCACATACGGGCATCAGATCATGTCCTGCCTGCACTACTTCTAACTCAACTTCTGCCAATGGCCAGGGAAAAGCAGCAAAAGACAACTCAAGTACTTGGGCGCCCCAAAAAGCCATGTGGGACACCTAGAAAAAGCTCCTGTCTCCTGGCCATTCTAGTCATTTGAATCAGCATAAGGAAAATTTTGTTCTCTCTCTCTCTCTCCCTCCTTCCTTCTCCCAATCCTTTTTGTGACTCTGCCTTTCATATGAATACATTTATAAAAAATAAAGAATATGCACATTATGAAAGGACTACACAAGTATCACAAAACTTCTGTATTGAAATATTCTTACAATTCTATTAATTGTATTTTCAAAGAACTTTTTAATGTAGTCTTGTGTATTCACGTTGACCGGAGGACTCAATTAAGTTTCTAAAATAGGATCAGAACCTTATGGAAGGTTCTTCATGAACTTCACTAAATCACTGGGCCATTCTGAAACTATCTCAAACAGGAAATGACTGCAGGCAAGAAAGACACAAGGAAACAGAAAGCAAGATGATCCAATTTGATGTAATCAATTTAATTTAAAAATTTGTGTTAAAAACTCATCAACTCTTCATTTAGGACAGGAATTAACTGTACATATAAAACAAATTTTTCTCAGTATTTTGAAGAACAAAATATATAACCACTTGTTTGCCTGAAATAGAAATAAATGAAACATTTCAAGATATATGTAACAGCATTCATCTCCCAAATGTTCATGTTCAATTAACATTTATAATGCAAATCATCTGTCATATGAAATGAAAGAGGATTTCAAGAAAAGTCATCTCAATCATCAAAGACTAATACATGATTTCTCAGTTCTAGCAACACAAGCATTTCCCAAGGTAATATTAGAATGAGATAGTTTACAAGTTTGTCTTATTTTCTTACAATACATTTCAAATAAAAAAGTCCTTACCAGAAAGTTCCAGTTGGCATTAATTTGATTCACCATCCCAGAGAGGAACATGCCCAGGAAGAACAGGGAGAAAAAAAAAGCTCCCACAGACACAAACATGACCCATCCTTGTAGCAGAGGTAGAGGAACATTGGAGGAGGCCACGAGAATCCAGACAAGGCCCCCAAACAACTGAAAAGAAAAAACAAAGAGGGTAGCAAGTTTGCTAAACAATATCTTGTAAAACATAATCAGACACCACCCCCCCTTTTTCCTTCTCAGACCCACCCTGCCACCCCATCCCTCAACCTGTCCCTGTCCACGGGAGATGCTTTCTTTCCTTTGGTCTAACACCAGGCCTGATGCACATTCACAGCTCTATCTTCATGTTGGACTCTCTTCCTGAGCCCCCAAAGAGATCCAGAATTCTCCTATTATCAACAAGTAACTTCCTTTGACTCCATTGCTTCTCCAACTTCTCACTCCATTTACCTTTATGTCTCTTTGATGCTTCTCCTCACAACTGCTCTTCAAGCTGTGATAAATGGGCTTCTGTTCTCACCACTTCTTAGAGAATGTTAGTAAACAACTACTACAACTTTCTAATTTGTGACATCTAAGTCATTTTTATCATGACTTATTTGCACATTTAATATTACTGTCTACATCCAGAAAAGTTGCGGTTGTTGCACATGATAGTAAACAATAAAAGCTACCATTATTTATGTTTTACTATGTGCTTAACATTCAGCTAAGTTGGTATTCCCAGACCTAATAGTCAATAAATACCTGTTCTAAGTCAGGCACTGTGCCAGGTGTTGGGAATAAATGGTAAAAATATATACTTAGTTGTTGCTGTCACAAAGTTCACAATACAATACAGGAAATAGGCAACTAAGCAAGGGATGAAAATGCTGCTTTGTAAATGTCACAACTGGGCAAACACCAGATACTGTTGCCTTCACAGAGATGGCTCTCAATTTTGATTTTAAAAGTTAGGAAGCACTTTCTAGAAACAACCACCCAAAGGACAGGCCAGGGGGATGAGGCAGGAGAAGAACCTCTCAGGGTGGAGGATGAATTCTGAGCTATCTAGGGGGAGCAGAGAGCTTGTCTCAGGTGAATAACAGAGTTGGGCATGACAGGAGTTCCAAGAGAGGATGGAGAGAGCCGCCAGCTCGATTCTGAGCTCCTGAAAGCCAGGCCAAGGAGCCGAACTTTACTCAAGGGCCAAAGGCAGGCCAGCATCCTCCTGAGCAGGAAGTAGCATGATCAAGACATGTATTTTAAAACTTCCTTCTAGCTACAGTAAGAGAATAGACTGGAGAACCAAAAACAAAGGGCTTTGAGGCCATGCAGGAGACCACAATGAATCACTGTCAACAAGAATCCAAGCTCCAAGGATGAGAGATGGGAATGGATAAGGACAAGTGGAAAAGCTGGCATGATGGTAGTTGGGAGATTGACCAGATGAGAGACATGGCAAGAAAGGGAGTAGGGAAGGGAAAGGGCTAGCTGTCTGGCTTCAGTAAGCAGGATGGCCTGAGAGAACAACAGGATGAGAATCAATGGGTAAGGATGATGAGCTTTGTGAACTCAACCTGGCACTACAATTACAGCAACAAAGCTTGCAGATCCTTTGTATGATATTCCAGGCCTTCTGTCATCTGACCCACCATTTTTATTCTGGTCTTCTGTGACTGAGTCCCTCTCATTTTTGGATTAGAGAGGTAAAAAAAATTCACATTTCAAAAATAAAGCTCTTTCATATCTGAGTAATCTGACACTTGCTGGCCTAGAATGTCATTTCCTCCTGAGGTGTTTTTGAGAGACACGATCCATTTTCAATCTTGAGCTTATAAACTGAAAAATCTTTTGTGAAATTTGTCTAATGCTCAGTTATGTCTTCCTCCTACAGGCAGCCTTCTTGTTAAGGAAGTGTCATGTGGCTTTGAAGACTGACATTGAATGCCTTTGGATTTTGGTCCACTTGTACTCTCAAATTGCTTGATGTGTCTCTGCATTTCCAAGCCATTTATTTATGGACTTAGTTATCCTTTCCTAACTATCAGGCACCATGCAAGATTTATCACCGCAAAAACCTAGACAGTGAACTTACTCACAGATATCTCAGACAAGGGAGTCTTTCTCTGTTTTTCACACATACACATACAGAAGGCTCTCAAATATTTGCTCAATGAACAGAAAAACCAATGTCCCTATGAGAATAGCTTGAATTTCAAATATTAATGTCAATAACCATCTATATCTTGGCTTCTCAAACCCCTAGATGATATGCAAATTGCATTAAGTCACAGAAAGTTAAAAACAAGTTTAATTCAAATTTTAAAGAAGGCCCAAGGTAGGAATTGTGGCATCATCGGGTAAGCCGCTGACTGCAATGCTGGAACCCTATGAAGGTGCTAATTTGAGTCCTAGCTGCTCAGCTTCAGATAGAGCTCCCGGATAATGAGCCTAAAAAGCAGCAGGAGATGAACTACGACCTTGAGTTCTCACTGCCCATGTGGAAGACTCAGATGGAAAGACTGTCTTCTGGCTGTGGTCATATGTTGGAGTGAACCAATGGATAGAAAAATCTCTCCTTCTCACTTGTGTGTGTGTGTGTGTGTGTGTGTATGTCTGCCTCTCCCTCTTCTGTAATTCTACCTTTAAAAAATAAAATATTTTGTAAAAGGCCCAGTGACAAAGTTTGCTGTGACTTTGAAGAAGCATTGCTGAAAATAAAACAAATTACCATTTGGACAGCAGTAAGCAAAGTACTGATCTAACAACTCTATGGTTGTGAAGGCATACTTAAAGTTCTGATTTCAAATCAAACCTTACTAATGAACCCAAAGTTTTATGAAATAAATCTAAGTCATAGACATAAATGCATATTGAATTTCTAACCACCATCTTATCAGTGACTTTGACAGAAATAAACTTGTTCCTGGTAAGAGATTATCTACCCTTTAACAAATATTTGAAGGTGATAAGAACTTCTTCAATGGACCAATATTTCTTTGCTTCCCAGCTTCTCCTTTCTGGTATCCTTTTCCTACGCTCCACCACCACCAGCCAATACTATGTTAAATAGAGGTTAAGAAATGTACTCCCTTATTCAATGCCTACTAATGCAAGAGGCATTTACGAAGAACCCATGGTAAGTGTAAGGGGTGGTAAAGAAAAACCGGCCACTGCCTGCAAGGGAAGGTAGCAGTGCACAGAAAAGCACTATGATTTAGGGCCTGTGAAAAATCTCTCTATAAAGAAGAGGCAGCATGACCCATTGGAATTGAATACAACATTAAGTAAAATCCTGTGCAGGGCCTCAAACAGGCTAGCCCCAAGCCTGCTGTTGGGCACTGCAGAACACTCAAGAAAAAAAAAAAAGGCAAGATTTTGTCTCCAGAGCTCTAAATAAGAGAGAAACAGACACCATGAAATCTGATTCAGGAGCAGATTGTGATGAGTGCTATAAAAATAGCTGAGCACAGTGTGCTCTGAAAGACAGGGAGAGGGAGGATCTAGTCAAAGGGATCCAGAAGGTGGGCAGAGGAGGCGGGTTCCGCAGCAGGATTTCAGACCACACTTTGACAGCAAAGGCCCAATGTGAGGCAATGTGGAATAGCTGTTCTGTCATACTCCAAATTATAGCCCTTCCAACATCTTGGCCTCTTGGAAGGAAATCCAAGCACATCTATGGAAAGTAATCAGACCTGCGTATTCATTTGTGGTGTGTGTGTGGCATGGGAAGGAAGAGGGAGTGCATAAAAATGATTCCTCCCTTTCGGTGACATAAAAACATACTCTATATCCCAGGGTCAGAGGGACCATGCAATGCAGCTGAGCACCAAGGCAGAGAACATATGAATCCCACTGTGGAAAGCTACCTTCCTCATTTCAAGAGCCGGGCACTCGCATGGCAGTGGATCACTGTAGCCTGCACACATGGATACCATCCCTCTAGGATTCCCTGGACAGAAGCTGTGTTTCCCTTTGAGCTTCCCAACCTGGCTCCAACCGAAAAAGAAATAAAGGAAAAGAAAAGGAGCTTTGAATGACCCTGTCAATATCCAGTGTATTCATATCATCAGAGTTTGGGGCCTTAGGAAGCTCAGAGAATTCAGTAGTGTAAGTATCGCTGCCTAGGCTGAGTCTCTAAATGGAGTCATGTATTTAGAAGCCCAAAGAAAGGCAGAAAAGTGGTTAAAATCCGTGAGGCAACAGTTCATAAAGTGCCACAGCAAATGCAGACGACGCACACTGAGAAAAAGCATTAGGAGTGCCAGGTTTCGTTTGAACCTCACTTCTGACTTGTTGTCTACCACCTCTGATAGTTATGGATCAAACAGCAAGTGCACTTTAGCTTAAAATTTCATTAAGGAACACAGTCAGTGCTCATGATTTTAAATCTGAAACTGTAACAAGTTGTCCGCCCTACAAAAGTAGACACCTCCTAGAAACTCCTACCATTCACTGCAGTTCCTCTGTGAGCCAGTTAACCCCGTCTTGCCAGTCTCACTCCAGCTCAACCACCAGAAGTATCTGAGATACAGGTATTCAATGGCTGCCCTTTCCTGAAACAACCCACCCTATTTAGTGGTTTATCAAATAATCTTCCCTTTAGTGTGGTCTCTGCAGGCCACAAGGTTATGACTTGGCTAGATCCCTCGCTTAAGCAAACCGCAGAATTTTTTTTCATTCACCAACTACACAAAAGTTAACCCTGAGTTAGAGTTCAGACAAGTTTTCCCTGGAAACTAGACTGGGAAAAACACACAACGCCATGGGAAGAGCTGCTATTGGGCAAGCAGCAGTTCCTGCATTCCGGGTGCAAGGGCGACAGACTTCTTCTCTTGCCGCCTGTTTGGTCTGCTTATGTTCCCAAATGACTTCCTTTAAGAATTTATTTTTTCCTTTCCAACGGCAATCCTTCTTAATAATCTGCTTACAATCACTCCGTCACATCTTAGTGATCATTTTCAAATCAATCAGACACCTCCATTTTCACATATTCTTTGCTGTACTAAAGAAAAAGAATAATTCCTATTCTGACCTGTTTTAATTAAGGTTTGGAATGACAGAAGGGAAAGATTAAGTGAATCTGAAGAGAGAAAATAGGGCTAGAGTGCCCCTAAACATTTCATTATTAAAATGTTCTGTTTGTAGCATATAACTTTTCTTTCTAA